TGAGACGATTCTAACAAGCTATGATACATCTTTGTACGATTATTAGATGCCAAGTTATTTAATATATTCTTTATATAACTGTGATTATAAACGGTTCTTTTTAATATAAGATTTTTGAGGATAGGTGTGATAGTGACTATAGATAGATTGTGACTATATAGGATAGATTTTAATAATAAAGTGTTTTGAACATTCAACTGGTGTGACTATATAGTAGAATGTGACTATAACGGGAGTGACTATAGAGGGAGTTGACTGTATTTTTTTTATTTAAAACCTCACCTTATTATAATTATATTACTAGAGTACTATGTTAACAGAAATTTAGTACATTGATCACTTAACAATCTAATTATAATAAAAAGAATTAATTTTTAAACAATTTAACAATTTTACATTAGATAATGTATTTGTATTGTACTGTATTTATAAATAAATTTACAATATTTTACAATTAATAAAATTTTAAATATATTAATAATAAATAATATATATGTTAATAAATTAATACGGGAAACTCTTTCTGCTGATCGCATGAACTATTTTTTTAACAAATTTTCAGCAACGTATTTTTGATAAAAGTACATAAAAAATATGAACCTAAAGTACAACTAGATATACAGGACGTCAAGTCTTTATTCAACCTCTTTGGCGACAAGGAGTTTTACCTCTTATTCAAAAGAACACTTGAAATTTATCGTTTGACTAATGCAACTGGTTTGTCTTAAACCTTGGAAGAAATAAATTTCAAAATACATAAGCATTTATTAGAACTTGAATCTCCTTTCAGTGAAAAACTTGAACAACTTGGTGTTAGTGATAACTACGATGAGCTCTTATTTCTTTTCTACACCTTCAAAAACTTTTGGCATACCCTCTTCTATGAGGCTGCGAATAACTTTATGAAATAATTGCAAAAGGAATCATGTGCTCAACAAATAACAACAACATCATCCAATTAAGTACTGGCACAGCTGGATAATCACTTGATGGAAATAGAAATTTTAGAGGAGCCTAAACACCAATCACCAGGTGTACCCCTGTGACATAAACAAAATTGAATGTACAAGCTTAGCCATATACTCCAAGAGGAAAAAAGCGCGTGATATACATCGAAGTCACCATAAGTTCTGGTTCTAGTTCTGTCAACTTCCGACTTAATTCACCATCCTCTAAGGATAAATGGAACACTCAACAGACTTTTAAGAAGAGTAGTACAAAAGAGAAATCATAGCAGTAGAAGATTAAGAAGTCCAAGCTTACACCAGAATCCTGCTTACTTATTATAAGATAGGTCACCTCCAGGCTTAAGGTAAAAATCATATATAAAATTCTTTGCAGATCCTACTATAAAATTTTATATTATATTGTTATGATTTTTTTCCTTTTTAGTTAATTAACCAATAGAATTTAAGAAAAAAGTAAGGTAAAAACTATTAGTAAAAGGCCAATTTTTTATGGTGACCTTTATTATAAGTAAGCGGGGTCTTCTTACACCAGAGAAAATAATTTTAACTGTCATGACCAGATACGTACCATAAGATAAGATGTGTGTCTATGAGATAGTTATTTACAATATCCTCTCCACCATGCTGCAACTCGATATCCTTACAAACCTAAGGAAATGGGGTCAAGTAATTGCGTTTAAAATCAAGACGCAAAAGAAGTATGTAACTGTGACTATGTCTATCAACTTTAATGAGTGAGCTTTGCACAATTGGAATGATGGAGTATAAACTGCTCTGTTCAGAGGAATGCCTGTCAAATGGTTCTCTACGTCCTGGTCTTTGAAGCAATGCAAAAAGCGTGAAAGATTTCAGGCTATTGTGATGGATGTACTGAAATCTGTTACTAACAATATTGTTTAACTCAATTAATGCTATCATAACTGGATGGTGCTTTAGTTTTTAAGATTATTCAAGATTGTGGGCAAAGGAAGTTGATTGTGTATTTCAACACTTGGATGAGTTTGGATAAAACTCTTAATACAGATTTCACCTTCTAAGAATTTAAAAGTGTTTGGACTAGATATTTCTTGTTCACCTTGAATTAGATTAGAAATAGACCACCAAAGAAGACGGACTTTACTTAGAAGTAGAACTAAGAGAAAACTCTGAATGTTTTGCAGAACAACAGAATAAGAAGGGAAGTCTAATAGAAAAATGAAGCAATCCACTTAGAATAATAAGGGCTTCAACAGCAAGGATAAACTTACAATTATAGCTGAAATTTGGACCTTGCTAAGATCACTGGCCAACTGACGGGAAGACTAGGTCAAATATGAAGTTTTAGGGATGAATAGGAGTGCTTGCTACCATATTTTATATATTAACCCTTTTTTTTATCCTGTTTTTTTTTGTTAAAGTCCTTTTTTTTTGTTTTCTGTTTCGTAATAGGTCTTATGGGCTTTTCTGCTGAAACTGAGAAGAGGGAATTTGTTCTCTCTAAGAATAAGTATACATATGTAAGTGCAAAAAGTACTCTCATAGCAAAATATCCGTTTGACAGTGTATCACGCGAGGTCTTTGTAAAAGGATGATGAGTGGTTTAGAACTTAATAAATTAGTTTAGAATTATTGTATATTTCGTGCTTGTATTTCAATTTACTTTTATTCTAATAAAGTTTCAAATACACTGCAGTTAGCAAAAAAAAAAAATAATAAATTAATACTACAATTAAAGTTAATTATCATATGATAACTAAAAACACTATTGCTATATGTGTTTTTAATATTGATATATGCATTTTTATGCATTATATACATGTTTTTAAACTATCATTATTTACTATATATGTATAATTTTACATTTAAATGAATGTTATTTCATGCATTTTTTGATATTTTTAAGTAGTGTTGATTGATAAAGAGTTCATTTTCCTATCTTTTTTAGCATTAAACAACATATGGTATTTTTCAATACTTTATATGTCTATTTAAAACTGGCTAATGATGGATTTTAAAAAACAGATATAATATAAAAAAGTATAAGACTAATTTTAACTAGAGTGATTTAACCTGGATAATTTAACATACTTGTAAATTTTATGTAATTATATAATTTTGCCCAAATTTTCAAAAAAAAATGTAAATTATGATTACAATAAAAAATAAGAAATATTATCAAAAATATAAGAAAAATTATAATGGTGTAGTTAGCCGAAAATTCAGCCGAAGGCGCAGTAAATTTTTGGCTAACAACATCCAGCCGAAAAAAATTCATGTTGATTTAGAATATTTTATTGGTTCAACATCTAACTATTTTCAGCTGAATATTTTCGGCTAAATACACTTTTTTTAAATAATAGTATAGTTAGCCGAAATATCCAAATAGCAATCAATATGAAATAATGACAAAATTTTATTTATTATAGAAAACAAGAAGTACATAACATTACTATACTTATTTTTGGACAGTGCATTATTATTTTTTATTAAATAAAACTACAAAATATTTGTTATTTTAACTTATTTATTTCTGTCCAATCATACCTCAATATTAGATTTTAGTAATTTAATTGTAAAAAAGAAATATTTTTAATATTTAATTGTTCTTTAAATTAATGAATAGTCTATTTAACCATTAAAACTATAACAATACAATTATACAAATAAAATAAAAAAGGAAAGTTTTTTTAAGGGATTTGAATTGTATTTGAAAATATACATACATTATTTTATTTTTTTAAAATATTTTTTGTTTTAATTTAAAGTCTTATATTATTCACTATCTTTGACAAATTATAAGTTTTTTGCATTATTTTTTATTTTTAATATACAAAACATTTGAAAAAATATTTTAAAAAACACTTAGAGACTGACAAGAAGTTATATATTCTATATTTAGTTTGAAGATTATTTTGTATATGTACGATGCAATTTAACCAATTTTAAGCCAGAAGTAAGAAAATTTCGGCCAGAATTATGGATTCAAAAATCATTAATTTAGCCAATTAAACAAGTTTAAATTGATTTTAAACTTTGCAAATGTATTATATATTTGAAGAGGGTGCTATTGCCATAATAAAGTGAATTAGGAGGTTACATGAGCAATGACTGCTATTTGGATATTTCGGCTAACTACACTATTATTTAAAAAAAGTGTATTTAGCTGAAAATATTCAGCTGAAAATAGTAGATGTTGAATCAATAAATTATTCAAAATCAACATGAATTTTTTTCAGCTAGGTGTTGTTAGCCGAAAATTTACTGCGCCTTGGCTGAATTTTTCGGCTAACTACACCATTATAGAAAAATTGGTTATTATACTCTATAATATCTAAATAAATAAAATTTATATAAAGTGAAATGAATAATAATAAAAAAAAATATTGATGTAAAATATAAATTTGATCCAGAAAAGCAAGTTATAAAAAAAATAGAAAAGTGAGAAATATTAGTAATTGGTAATAATTGTGGAAATTGAAATCAGTTATTAAAAGGTTAAAGTTTGAAAATATTAGTCAAAATTAAAAATATCAAAATATTAAAATGTAAGAATATAAAAATTATATAATAATTTATGTTAAATTTCTATATAATTACTTTCTAGTATATAAGAATATCACTTTTTACTTTTCATATTCAAATTTAAATTTCGAGTCACGTGTTTCGAGAGTTTAAAGATACACGCTAAATATTAGGATTTATAGGTTCAAAACTTTCCATTGGTTTAATGCAGAGAAGCATGTTTAACAATTTGGTAATTCAGAATTTTGAAATGAAAATTTGGGCATTTCCAACTCTTTTTATTACACATAACAATTTAAATTAACAAATTGACCCAAACAAAAAATTAGTTTAGATTCCAATAAATGTATAAAAGGTTAAAAAAAATTATTTGTATTCCTAACCTATTTTATGTTTTCGAAAAAGCTATTTTGGAAGAATTGGACCAGAATGAACAACTTCTGAATCGGTTTGTTCTTGATATAATTTGAAATTTTCAACAAATCTCGCAGCTAACGAATCTCGGGTTTTAGTGAAAGTTTCTTGAGGACCTTTCCAAGTTTTTGAAGGATTCAAAATATCTGTTGGAACTCCGGAACATGATTTTGGAATTTGAAGATTAAAGACATCGTAATTTTCATATTCTGCTTTAGTTAATTCACCGGAATGAATAGCATCAATGATAGCTCGAGAATATTTAAGTTTAATACGCTCTCCTACACCATATGCTCCCCCGTTCCATCCCGTATTAATTAACCAAGCATCAGCTTTATGATGCTCCATTTTGTCTGCCAACATTTTAGCATATCGATAAGGATGTAATACAAGGAAAGGTTGTCCAAAACATGCGGAGAAGGTAGCCTCTGGTTCTGTCACTCCCTCTTCAGTACCCGCAATCTTTGCGGTATAACCGGAAATAAAATGATACATAGCTTGTGATGAAGATAATTTTGATACTGGTGGGAGAACTCCGTAGGCGTCACATGTCAATAAAATGATATTCTTTGGATGATCTGATGAAATACACGGTATTTTTGCATTCGGAATATACTCGATTGGGTAGGCACATCGAGTGTTTTCCGTAAGTGAAGAATCGTCATAATTCACGACTCTGGTATGTGAATCGTATACAACATTTTCCAAGACCGAACCAAAACGGATAGCATTGAAAATTTCTGGCTCTTTTTCGGAAGATAAATTAATACATTTGGCGTAACAACCCCCTTCAATATTAAAGATACCGTGATCTGACCAACAATGCTCATCATCACCAATCAAGAAGCGTTTTGGATCAGCGGAGAGCGTAGTCTTTCCGGTACCGGAAAGACCAAAGAAAATTGAAACATCTCCATTTGAACCTTCATTTGCAGATGAATGTAATGATAAAACGTTATGCTTAACAGGCATCAAATAATGCATTACAGTGAAGCTATTAAGGAGAAAAGGCGAAAATTAAAATTTAATTGCAGTAATGACGAATATAATTCATGGATTCTAAAAATTCTTTCACTTACACTCCTTTTTTCATTTCACCAGCATATTCAGTACCAAGGATTACCATTTCGTTCATATGGAAATTGATGGAAACTGAAGTAGTTGAAGTCATACCAGTTGTGTAACGATTTGCTGGAAAAGCACCAGCATTATAAATAGTGAAATCAGGAGACCCATAAGTTTCAAGTTCTTGCGGAGTAGGTCTTATTAACATATTTCGCATGAATAGGGAGTGGTAGGCGCGAGCTGAAACGACACGAACCTTGATGCGATATTTCGGATCCCATCCGGCAAAACCATCAAAAACATAAATACGTGAACGAGTATTCAAATAATCAACAGCGCGTTCACGATTGATAAGGAAAACATGTTCTGGTAACTTAGTGTTAACAGGTCCCCACTATTAATCATATTTATTAGTACACAATATTTTTTAACGCGATGTAAATGTTAAGCTCAAGTCTCTGGTGGAATCTATACTAACCCAGATATCATTAGTTGAACCAGGTTCGTCAACAATGCGTTTATCTTTTGGAGAACGACCAGTTTTAATACCAGACGCTGTTACCAAAGCCCCAGTTGAAGAAATTGCAGAACCAGTTTCATATTTTAAAGCATCCTCATATAATTGTGCAACTGAAGGATTCCATTGAATATCTACACGGTCATAATCGATATGAGCATTTTCGTGAAGTTCTTCTTCGACTCTTGTATGAAGCATTGTGCTTGTTGAAGAAAAAGGTTTACTAACAGTGCTTTTTAAAGCAAGCTCTTTTAATAAATTATAGGAAGAATGATTATTGACTTTTATCGACTTAAAATTATCAAAGTTATTATTGGTTTTGAATTTGTAAGACTTTGAGTAATTAGCTGTAGTAAATCTTTTTGAAGCAGAAGCATTAATAAGTCGAGTTGAAACTTGATGTTTATATACAAGACGGCGTAAAGAATTCATGGTTATAAAATATATTTTATCTAAACCGCCCGCGTTTACTCGAATGATAATTATTTAAACTAGAACTGGAATGACAAAATATTATGTTATATCAACTAGTCGCCAAGTGGCAAGTATAATAAGATAGACGTAATATAAATAGCTACTATAAAAGTAAAATGCATAAGCTATTTGTATGATTATCGGAAAAGTTCGGCGGAGCATTGGATTGGAAAACCGCTCAATTAATTTTGCCATTAATGAAAACTCCCTGAAACAAGAACAATTTTTTTTTGTTCGCCCAACTTTGGTCTATCATCCGATTTTTTTTTCTCACACATTTTTTTTTTTTTTTTTTTTTGTGAATTAGAATTGATCGACAATTATTTTTCCGGGGCGGGATTGCTTATGTAATGTATAGCTGTTGTGTTATCCGTAATTGTCCGCCATGTGAAAAAAAAATTCTATATCGGAACGGGCCGGAACGGATAAATACCGTATGCTCTTCATTATCCAATCGGAACGGAACGGAATATCACTCATGACCTACTTTATAATTATAAATTTTCCGAAATACTAATAAGATTGCCTGCAAGACATCCGAAAATGAATTGGGGCTTTTTTTAAAAAAGCTTATACCGAATTCAGTAAATCTTAACCTTTTTGATCTAACCAAATTTAAAATTTGTTCCCCATATTTGATTTTCATTCAATTAGTGTTATATGAATGTTTACGATATATCCCGAAATTGCAAAAAAAATAAAGAAATTTGGCTGGCAGTAAAAATCGGAATAAAGTAAAATGGCTCTGAAATTTAAAACCGATTTCATGTGGTTTTTTACATCTGTAACGTCACTTTTTTCAAAAAAAAAAAGAGAGCGCCTTTTGTTGAAGTTGATAAAAAACCAAAATTGGACCATTTTTCCAATTCACATTTTTAGCTATAAAGTTGAATTTAGATAAAAAAGAAGTTATACTAGCCTCATCGAATTACAGTTTACCCGTGCAAAATTAATATCCATATTAGGCTGAAAAATCGATCATTTTTACTAGTACTGTATATATGGATTGAATTGATCAACTATGGGGGTTCTTTTGATAGTGATCTGATTGGTCAAAAAATGTCCCATTTTGATGAGCTAAAAAACCACTTTTTTCTTCAATGATCTTCATTGATATTAAAATTGAGATAAAACGCTCAATTATCATTTAAATTTAATTTACTATTAGTATAAAAATGAGCAAGATTTTTTAATATAGAAAATTATTATTATGCAAGAATTACCCAAGTTATCATTATTATAAAAAAAAATAAAAAAATCTGTTGCTTAATGTCAAACTATGCTTGAGCTTATAATTTTATTGATCTCGTTATTGATTGTGATACTTGAACGCAATGACATCACTATCTGATCTGAAGGAGATGCTTGAGAACGGCCTATAGCTATAGTTAGTCAACCAATTAGCAAATTAGCATAGTTATGTTACATAATAAGGCTTCATCAAGCAGCGTCTTCAGGAGAGTTCCCTGGGCGCCATTTATGACTATTAATTCAAATTCCACACCCATAACTACTGCTTGTATGTAGATTTTCATATCTTAATTACCAATCGTTTCCTAAATCTAGCACGCACCCAACTCATCATTTAACATCCGTGTACTATTAAATGTTGTAGTATCAAAAAATACGAGCCAACCATAAAGCTGCATTTTTCTTAAGTTTGGTTGTTTCATAGAATTACCTTCTTTGCTGGTGCTCTAGTAGTCACAAAGAAACTTCGTAATAAGTAAACTATACTCGGAAAAAAAAAATTTGGCTACGCATGGTACCAGTGAGCTTACTAAATAAATTTCCAATTCCAAAGTTTCCTCATACTGTACATTTAACTTCGAATCAAAGCTTTGCCATTCTTATCTGTTCAACTGTGATCGTGTCTTTGGCATTCGTGGCGAAACCCTTATAACATTATTGGTCTGGATCATCATCAAGGAGAACTTTTTATGTATTAACATAAAAATGAAGTTCTTCATGGCAATATGAACACAGTTTGTCAAATGATGCATAATAGAAATGAATTTTTCTTTCTCGATTTCCTGCAATGACCTCATATTTAACCTGCTTGAAACTGTATGATCCAATAATTCATAAGGCACTTTATCCGTAAAGATTTATATCTAATTTTTAGCTTTAGGAAAAAATGGTTAGTAATTCCATGATCCTGACAGTAACCATGTTGTGAACCATCTTAATGCGACCTATCTATTATCAAAACAAGGTTTCCCGGAAGAAATTGCGAGTTCGGCGCACTTATTTTTGTTTATTTTGATTGTTTTCTTGATATGTATCTGAAAAATGAATGATTCAAGTTAGTTAAATCAATATTTATTTACCCGGCAGACCATTATCCTAGCAGCTGGCAGATAAATACGATGCGATGAGATAATTCATTCATACATAAAATTGTCATTTGAGAGAATTGTGTTATTAAAATGTCTGTGGGCAACCTCAACCTCCGCAACTTCATTGTTCCAATAAGGATACAGGTCCGGAAACTCTTTGAAGTTAAGGGTGGGACCGATATTGGAGACGAGGTAAAGGTCTAGAAATTGCGGGAGGTGGTGTTGTTTCTGTCTTTCAAGATCTGTTTCGGGGGGTTTTCCTATAACGCGATTGAAAAGAGGACTGATTATCACGTTCAACAATAGTCACGTTACTACGATATTCTAGTCGAATGAATTTTTTTTTGATACTGTATAGAACTATAAAACTATTTCATTTATCTCTTTGTGAATTCGTCACTTTGATCACTTCGTGATAATTTTCGGTGGGGAAGGGTATATTTAAAAATATATTTGTCTCAATATGTAATTTTGAAACTCAACAGGTTTTTTAATAAAAAATATAAAAAAAAATTGTTGTAGAACAAGAAAATCACATACGCTTTTTATGTAGATCATTGAACCTCGCACCTACCTATAGATTAATTTTTCCAACTTTCATTTTTTGAACTATTTTCTTGCTTTAATATAATGGAATCTGTACAGAAGCTTTTCGGAAAAAAGCCTACGCAAGATGAAATGGTAATAATCAAAAAGTAATTACTTTTTTGGCTAAATCTCGTTCAGTCAGCCTTATTGGTTGTCGTAACAAAAACTTTTTTGCATTACAGTAACTTTATACTTTCCTTTTTTTCTTTTTAACGTAAGGTAAAGAAGTGGCAAAGAGAAATAAGAACACAACAACGTTCGTTAGAACGACAAATTAGAGATTTCGAAGAAGTAGAAAAAAAAACAACAAATTTATTAAAACAACACGCTAAAAAAAATGATTCAAAAGCTTGTAAATTATTTGCTAAAGAACTTATTAGGACAAGACGTCAAAAAACTAGATTATATACTAGTAAAGCACAATTGAATTCTATTCAATTACAACTACAAAACCAATTAGGTAAGTATTTTTAAAGAATAAATTTTAAAACGAGTATTATGAGAGGAGAAAAATTATGTTTATTACATTCATTTTTTTAAATATAATAGCTACTCTTAAAGTATCCGGATCATTAAAAAAAAGTACTGAAGTAATGAAAATGGTTAATGGATTAGCCAGACTACCAGAATTATCAAAGGGAATGCAAGAATTATCAATGGAAATGACAAAGGTAATATATGTAATCTCCATTTTATTTTATCGAAAAAGTAGTTATTTAACACCTTTCGTGATTAGGCTGGTATTATCGATGAAATGATAGGAGATACTTTCGAATTAATGGAAGATAGTGATATTGAGGAAGAAGCTGATGAAGAAGTTAATAAAGTTTTATTTGAAGTTACAAAGGGTATTGAAAAAATTCAACTATTTTATCTTGATTTTTTAAAAACTGTGAAAGAGAGTTTAAAAAATTTCTTTGTAGGATTGCTTGGTGAAGCTGGTGCCGTTCCATTAGAGGTAAAATTCTATTTAACAACAACTTCTTTTGAATTATAATATTGATTTAATTTGTTATTCCCATTAGAACCCAGAATTGGAAGAGGAAGAAGAACCTGCCGCATTAGATGAGATGCAAGCTAGATTACATGCATTAAAATCTTAATATTTATTGTTGTTTCTTTGTAAATCAGCCACAATATTACTAACAAATACTTGATTATATAAATCAATAATATATTTTATTTGCTTTAGACTTTTTATTTTTATTTTTATTTCTACTTCATTTTATTTTTTGGTTTATAGTAGGATAGAATTAAATCTGTCTCTTATACACATCTAGATGTGTATAAGAGACAGGCTGAAGGATGATACTGAAATTAATAACAATTACAGACTTTTGGCTTTCAATTTTATTCACATAAAATAATGAACTTATAAGATAATTATTTCTTTCTAAAAAATAAACTATTATAAATCATCTTGTCTTTAAATAAGTAATAATTATAATTATTATCAGTTATTTGAATATTAGTAATATAAAATAATAATTAAGAACAGTAATATAAAATAATATTAAGAACACTATATATATATATATTTCTTGTATCCAAAAAAAAAGCAGAAAGAATTTCACTAGTCTAGTTTAACATTCTTATAAATTGTTCTAACAAATTTGTCTGCTGCAAAATATCCGATGGTACCTATTTCATAATAAATGTTAAAATTTTACTATTAAGAAAAAAAACGAGAAAGGTCAAAGAATTATATTATTTACCTAACATAACAAATAGTCCAAAACATACTATAGCCGTATTTCCAAAATAAAATGAGGTCTGAAAGAGACCATACATTCTAAAAATAATAAGGTATGATTAATAAAAATATATAATATTTACAAATCCTCTCCTAAACTTACTTGGTTCTGTTAATAAAATAATATATAGAATACAGATAAACGTATACTGCAGTAGATCCACAAGTTAAGAAACTCATCCAGTGCCTTTAATATGATTAAAAAGTTTGTTAAGCATTTTTCTATATGCATACATGTATATACTTCTAACATACCATCGATGGTCCTCAGAATTGAGTAAAATATATGTGCTAACTATGGTAACGCATGCTGTTACAATGAGAAGAATTATGAAAACAAACAACATAAATCCATAAACATAATAAATCTTGTATGCCCAGAATGATGAGAAGATAAAATAAATCTCAATGAAAATTGATGCGAACGGAAGGATTCCACCAAGAGCTATAACTACAAGGGATTCGGCATACCTATATTTATATACATTTTAATACATTAAATTAATAACATTTTATTTTATAAAGATAAATACATATTTACCAAACTTTTTCGGGGATAGGCCTAGGAATTGGATTAACGCGACAGGGAAAACTTGGTTGACTTGCCCAATTACGACAAAGAATTGCTCCAAGCAATGTTAATGGAAACACAAGGAATGACCAAATTGCAAACATTGCCAACTAAGTACAAACAAACACGTACGTTAATTGGTAGTAAATGCATTATAGAATCATATTTTTAGCATACCATAACTGTGAAAGGAATAGCACGTGAGCTAGAATAATATACAGCTATGGAATTGATTATTATAGTGATTACGCTAAGTATTCCAGGCCACAAAGTAGCCGTAGCTATAACATTCTTTATCCAATCACGACCTATAATAAATATAGTTTAAACCCGAATTATTAGTTTTTTTCTTATTTAATTAACAATAATATTCGAAAATTCAATTTACCTCCATACACTTGATAAGTGCTTGCACTTGTATACCCAGCAACCGCTGAGGTTAATGTATAAAAGAAGATTGAAGCAGTCAAAATAGTAGCACGTCTAGATGAATTAAAAAAATTATTATTATTATTATTATTTTAATAATCGTTAATTTTATTCATTAAATTTTCAGATTCCCAATCCCAAAAGGTTATCTATCATACAGCGGTTCAATCCAAATTGAAGTTTGGAGTCGATATTCACTCTGCGTATAAATTTCCGATGATTGTATATAAAATGATTACAAGCGTTAGCCATACTAGTTGGTGACCAGTTCCGACTAATGCTGAGAAAAGTAGTAACGATCTTGGCGCACGAAACACATCTCCATGAACTTGTTTCCAGCCATATTCATCGCCTAAGTCATGATCCTACAAGAAAATGTTACAAATAATTAATTTTATTAAAAAAAAAAAAATAATATATATAAATTACCAAATCTCCAAGTGTCTCTTCCTTATCATATCTAGCATAGTCTTTCTTTAGCATGCGTAGTAATATAATACTGACAAAGCCTGCCAAAAAAATAACCATAATAAAGGAATTGAAAATTGAAAACCAATGGATCTATTTTTCAAATAAGAATTATATAAGTTTACCTTGACAAGCTTAAGAAAAAATATTATTTCGTAACTTAGTACTTACACATAAAAATTTCAAATACCTTATGCTCAAAAAATTCGGTATCCAAAAGTTTATCAAATCTCGTATCAAATGGATCATCAGTTGCAACCCAATTAACAGAATATGAAAATCGTACAGGAATATCCTGTGTCTCCCAGTGCAATTTTATAGGGTTTCCACTTCCAAGTTTCACTTGAATAATCTGAAATAGTACAATAAATATCTATAACAAAGTAAAGAATGATGACATTAAAAAAAAAACATTGTTATACTTTATCGCCATTATAGTTCACTTCAAATTCTCTGTGCGTATACAAAAACACATCGCCTGAAATATTATCAATTTCTCCAACAAATCCTACAATAATAAATAGACATTATCTCGTGTAAAATTAATTTAAGCAGAAAACCATCAACACGATTTAAATTTTACCCCATATTGGCAAGTCATCTGAAAGGAAAATATAATTAGAGTATTAAAAGAAAAATAAATCAAGCTTGTCTTATGCACTTACCAAGAAACATTTGATACCAATAATTATTAACAACAGCATATCGAAACAGATTTACGTCCTTTGGTGTTAGTTCCTTTTCACAAATAGTTGCATTTTTTTCGTTTGCTATAATAATAATCAGACACAAACATTATAAAATATTAACCAATATACGTATAATTTAAAAGTAGTAATTTTGTATAAATAAGAAATAAGAAAGGAAGAAATAGACAAGCACTAATTGATCCTGATTGATTTATGATTCCAACATCATCTAATAACAAAAATCGGTAGTTCCCTTTATAATCTTCAGAACTTAATCTATTTATGATATGTAATTAAATCTTTCTTTTCGGTATAAATTATAATAAAAACCAATAGATGATTCCATCATATCATTATTTCAATACAAATACTCAGATAAAAGGATATACTCACTCAGAAATTTCATGCCGATCCCGGAATTTACCAGTTCCATACCTAAAAGAGAGTTAGAGGAAGTTACTTCATCACGAAATGTATTGAATATCTTCTAGTTCTCCATATCCCTTCGATTTAAGTTTCTGATCATAAAACGTATACGTACCTAACAATGCCTCACCTAGCGTTTCATGATGGTGCTCTATGAAAAAGAAAAATGGGTTATAAATATACAAACAATCTTAGTAAAATAGCTTTATACTTACCAGAAACATGAATTCCCTTACAGTATGGTAACTGAAAATACTCGTAAGTTTCTTGCTGATTTGAACGCGGACCTACAGTATCAACCCATATTATTATATCCTCACCCTTTTCATACTAAGAGAAGTAGATATAGTTATTGACTTTTAAAATGCAGAAACAGTAACTACTAAGAGGTACGTACCTTATGAGAATGTTCATCGGCACTTACAAAAGTTGTGTACAAGATAAATAATAAAGCGAACCAAAATCTTTTTCTTTTTAAATAATCCATTTTTAATGAAAGACTCAGACTATCGTGTAATTTCTGCAATTTCACTATAAACCATTTAGTCACGTGATAATTTCGTCATCAGTATATCGGTAGATTACTGATCGAACCCTGGTGTTAGTTGATCTTGTTGCTTTTTCAACAATGTTAAATTTGACTTTAACAAAATGGCCAACAATAGTATCCTCTCCAACAGCTAAAATAATGTTTGCAACAACTTTAAGAAGCATGACTACCATTAAAGAAAATTCGGCAAATTCAAAAATACTTTCAATAGTGCGAATATCTCCATTATTAAAAGTTAACCAAACTTTAACGTCAAATTCAAATTCTAGTGTACAATACAATTATGCAACATATTCTGCTTTAACAACATCAATTGAGAAAGAACAAGGAGAAGAAAAAAACGAGGGAGAAGTTCTTTTAAAAACGAATAATGAGAGGAATATAAGTGTAGAAAATGGGATGGATAGTTCATGGGTAGGTAATTATTCATTGGATAGATTGGTAATTAGGTTTAGGGAAGCAATTCAAGAAGGAGATCTGAAAAAACTTATGATGACACATCACACATTAATAAAAGAACAAAAAGGACAACAATGGCAGAATCGTTTAAAAAAATCAGATTATCAGGATGCAATAAGTTTGCTGACTCGTTCTGCAAATTTCACACAAAAGGCAACTAGTCCACCGCCATCATCAACTCAAACTCTAGCCTCAACTACTTCGATAATATATTCACTTTTTAATGATATGAAAAAGCAAGGTTATAAACCAGATACATCAACCTATAATAGACTAATTTATTTGAATTCACTTAAAGGTGATACTAAAGAATCAAGAAGAATCTACAAAATGATGCTTGAAGATAAAATAGAATGTACCATATATACATTTAATTCGTTAATATTGTCATATCAATGGTCATTAGATATTGAAAGTGCATTAGAAGTATTAGAGGAAATGAAATTGTATGGAATTAAACCTAATACTGTAACATTTAATTCTTTAATTGATATATATGTTAAGTTAGGTGATATTAATCAAGCTGAACGAATTTATGAGAAAATGAAGAGTAATTCTACAACTAGGATGGGGAACAGTTTGGATAAATGTGAAGTAATAGTAGATAAGTTTACTTTGGATTGCTTATTAAGTGGATATTTAAATTATGGACATTTGGATAAAGCAAAAAATTTATTTAAAGATATTAAAGACAGTGGAATAGAATTGGATACACATCTTTATACGAAAATATTAAAAATTTATTGTTATGAACCTGGTAACTTGCAAAAAGTACTAAATTTATTTAATCAGATTAAACATCAACAACATAAAGGAAATATTAAATTTGTTAATACTTTGTTAGATTACTTGATTAAAGAAAAAGAGTTTTCTAATGCTCTAAGGGTATATGAGGAATTAGTAGATATTGGGTTTATTCATGATGCAGCTACTCTAGCTTCGATTATACCGGCTTATTATCATACTGGAAATAATGATATTGCTTTTAAATTATTTAATGAAAAAATGGATTCTTTTTTAAACATGCGAAAATTGTTTTCATTATTCTCAAACCTAGGAAAAGAACACTCAAAAAATTTTTTCAAACAATTCGCTTCCTCTTCTAGTATACTTTATAATACATTAATCACTTATTTCTTAACCCAAGATGATATAACTAATGCATTAGAAATTTATTCACATCTCCTTCAACAAGGGTACTTTTTAAATATTTTAAACATAACAATATTATGCAAAAAATTAATATCACAAGAAAAAATTAATGAGGCATTACAAATATATTATCAATCAAAAGATCATAATATAATACTAGATCAACGTGGCTACACAATACTAATAGATTCCTTTTCAAAAATGACATATATGTCAGAATCTCAACGTATATTTGTTGATATGAAAGAAAAAGGTATAAAACCAAATTCTTACACATATTCTTCATTAATTAGAGGATTTGGAAAAATTTATGATATACAAGGCGTAAAAAATATTCATCAATTAATTAGAATGGATTTGAATCTCGATCAATTTGATATTGTCATATATAATTCTTTAATGGATGCCTATAATAGATGTGGTTATGGTTATAATGTATTACAATTATGGGATTCCTTGGTAATATCTTCTAAAGAAAGTGATTTATTAGTTAATAATGCTACCGTATCGATTGTTTTGGATTCTTGTGGTTTTAATAAACAATTATTTAGATTAAATCAAATTTGGTATGATTTAAAAAAGAAGAATTTTAATTTAAATCAAAATAATTATGCTTCATACCTTGAAGCTTTAGCCAGAAATCAAAAATTTAATGAAGCAAAAAATGTTTTAATGTCTGAAATGATTGATGATGGTATACAACCTAATTCTAAAATAATTAGAACTTTATTAAATTTCTTGCATGATCATTCTAAAAATAGAGATCAATATGAAATTATTAATTGGGTTAGAACCAATTTTCCTTTTTTAGCTAAGGAATTAAATTTAGTTAATAAAAAAAATAATAAAAATATAACTAAAGGTATATCTGAAAAAGATTAATTTTTATTGTAGATAAATATCAAATACAGCAATTTTTTGATTCATTACATTAAATACCTATCTTGTAAAAATTACTATTTAAACTTTTATAAAATACCAATCATTATTTACCATGATCAATAAGTTCATCTCGAATTTTCAATGCATTTGCTACTGTGAATCTCCATCCCAATTCATTATTTTTTATTTTATTAGAACCTTTGGCTAACAGTTTTTCTTGCCATTGAGAATATTCAATGGTTACTGACCTAACGGTTTGATTTCTTTTAGTATTTGCTTCTATATATACTTCATCTGCTTTTATTGCTGTTGTATCTATTTCTCTTGTTAATTGTTCTAATTGTTGCTCCAATTCTTGATTACCTTTTTGATGTTTCTCTGTTTTTTTTTTCTTTTTGCGACTTTTTTGGTTGCTGGAAGATCCATTATCAGTATTACCAACCACGATTCCTGTTGATGATTTCTCTTCTTGAATTGTTATTATACGCGCATTATCAATCTGATCCACAATAAATAATAAAAAGATATATAAACTTTCTTCAGCTTTGAATGAAAAAGATAACAGAGGAAGCGCTTGAGTTATAGTATAGAATAATACAATCAAATAATTCAGCGTAGAATTAGGTGTTATAAAGAATTCCTGAGAAATTAAAAAATGAATAAATAAAATAATAATGTAAATTTTCTTATTTTTGAAATGGAAATATTTTTTTTGTTTTTTAAAAAAGGGATTAAAAGTAATACCTTAGTTACTTTGATAATATTTTGTATAATACGGAAATCGGTAACAACCCTGTATGATGAAAATTGTTGTTCATACTCCAATGAATTATTACTTTTTTCTTGCTGTTCCTTGAGAAAGTGTAATGATTCTAAGATATTAATAAATGAAAATCTTAAACAACATAATGATATCCGTTCTATTCAAAAAACATAATTAGTCCAATCAAGATCAAGGAAAGATAAATCTTGAAAACTAAAATTCTTTTACCATCAAATGCTAGGTCAGCAGTAGCCAATTCATTTAATTCATTATCATTATCATCAATCATTAACAATTCAGCGGCTGACAGACAACCGTAAAAAAACAATTCTCTTAATAGCTCATTCAACAAACATAAAGTTTCCTCTTCAACACTGTTTGCAAGTATGTAACAGAATGCAAGAGGTGCGGTTGTTCGGAAAAGATTACGTAAAGATGGCTTTGTAATAGCTTGTGACTTGTTTAGAGCCTTAAAGAAAAGAATCATCAACCAACATGTTAGATATTAACAAAAAAATGTTTAGACAAGGTATATTCTAATTTTAAAGAACTTACTAAACTAAATTTTTTGCACCAATCATTCGACACTCTGCAACCTTCTAAAAACACCATCGTTTGTTTAAATTCTGTTGTTTGTTCTGACATATTTTCATTATCCTCAATTATCACAAATTCTTCTTTGGATAAATCACAAAAGGAAAAAAGCACTGCAGGTATAATAGGTTTCCCTATCTTTAATCCTAATCGGTCTTCACACATTTCAAATAAGTTCCGGAGAAAAAGTTGTGTAGTCCAATCTTTATAATAATATAAAGAAAAATAATTTTTTTTGAATAATTAAATGTAGGATATCTTTTTTTTTTTAAAAAAAAAAATAATTTACCAAATTCCTGGGATTCGTCATAAAACTGACGAACCGAATAGGTATCTGAATTGTGAATATCTAAAAAACGCAATATTAAAAATTCCAACCGTAAATGCTTTAAATAAGGTATTATAAAATAAGAACTTACTATATTGAACATAATCTTCTGGAAGAGATGAAATACACCCCGCCAATATTTCTATCAATTTTTTAGACACTATATATATATTATCTATCTTGTTTATTACTAAGGAAAACATTTCTTTACGCCGATTGAATAACGTTACAATAGATTTCAATAATGAAAAGGGATTTGACCTCATTAACCAACTTACATCAGCTGGTGGTAACATTGGAGTTAGTTGAAATAAAAGGGCATTAAGAATATCAAGTGATATAGACAAAGTAATTTTCCTTCCAATCAAGTTTGAGCTCTTTAAGTAAGGCATCACACAATACTTGATATATTCTCTGACATCAATTAGAATGTTATTATTGTTCCATTCTCCTATATCAATAAGAGTTAACTCCACAGGTTTCTTGGTGGTATTGCCCTTTATTCACACAAATTTATTAATAAAAGGCATTAATATTAAAGGTATGTAAAAATTAAAGATGTATGTAACAATTTACCGTCATCGCAAGCATAAGAAAATCGATCAAGTTTTTTTGTTCTTGTAAGTTAAAACACAAAGTTCCTCCATCAAGTGAAGATAATTTGTATTGAATTACTTTAATCATCAAAGCTGGAGATTTTGAGGTTTGGCGGAACCAACATAATGATCCAATTTCACGTAAAATATCAAGAATTAATATTCCTTCGCCCTTATTATGTATACAGTCCTCTAATAATCTGTCAAGCATAAAATAAGATGCAACCATTGATAACTGTACAAAGAAGTCAAGTAAGTAATGAAAGACATATAATAATAAATCAAGAATAATATATAACGTACTTCAATAAGAGCGTCTATATCACTAGATCTAATACATTCCTCCTTGTTTTTAATTATTAACTTCGACTTATCATCGTTCATTTGGCTGTTTATTTCTGCTGTAAAAACTATTTGATTGCAGAGCGTAGTAAGTCGTTGATTATATTCAAACGGCCATACTGACCAATTATCGAAAGTAGGTGCTTTAATGTTCGTATCAGGAGGCCTGTTTAATAAATAAAGTATCATCTGTAAGAAATTATACAGAATTTAGAAATAGCCTAAATAAAATTACCTGTCAGATAACATAAAATCACGAAATAGACATTTTGTGTGGCGTGATAATAGAGAAAATGATTTAAGGAATAGATTCATGCCAGTCTTTGAAATGTAATTAGTATTAATTATGGTTATCATGTGAAAAATATTGTTGATCGCACTTACTTTGATTTTAGGTACAGTTTTGCCGCCAGAATTTTTAATGAGTCTTTTGATACTCTGATATAATTCTCGTTGGAATCCATATTCAACTATCAACTCACTAAACATATCTTCATTTATGTTTAAGCTGTTGTGTATTATAGTAATATAACATGGATATAAAATATAAATGTGTTTGTGACAAAAGAAATTATGAATTATTTAACTTACTCGTCAAATAGATCTATATATTGCAACATTAATTTTAAAAAAGACACAGATCCAAGACGCCGGAATCTAATAGAATTTACCACCCAATGACAATAATTGGACAGATCTTTCTTTGTTAAACTCTCTAATATCATGCTTAATTTGAAAGTCAACTCAGAACCATCGATCCGATTGGCAAATGATATGTCGTAATCAAGATTTTGTCGCAAAGAATGACAAATCGTGATAAATGCCTCTTCATGCTTATTTAAAGGTTCATCACTTGTTGAATTCATACGAAAAGATACTTTCAGGAAAGTTACATTTTGATATTCTGATTTATCTTCTCGCAAACTGGATCAATTAAATTACTATTAATTGCTTTATTCGCGTATAAGGTATATGTGTACGTATATTTATATTACCGTTGAACTATCCTTTTTGATCGAAACTAGAGAATAAACGATTAATAACATTAATGGTTATTATGGAAACTTCCGAATATCAAAAATCATGTTTACCTCCAAATTCGAAGGCGTTTTTTGTGGTTCAGAATCAATATATTCTAGGAGATTGTCAATTGATTTGTTTTCATTGGAATATATCTTATTAAGTGAACTTAAAGTGCCTAATTTTATTAAAGGATTAATAAATGTATAATGTATTAACTCCATTTAATATATACTAAACACATTACTGATTATATCTGCTTCTTTGAGCCGCAAGATTACTCGGCGCATTGCCAATTTCATTAAAGGATTGATTTGATAAGCTTGTTGTTCATCCTTACAAACGACGAACGCAAGATAGTCAAATATGCATAGCAATTGATAGAGATGTTTATTATCTCTAGGAGTTCGTTGTGAATTTGCATATAAACTTTCAATTGACCTAAGGTCGTCAAGCATAAATAAAATGTACAATGATGATACCATAAAATAAACAATAATGAGAGAATACCTTACTTTGAAGTATTTTCGAATTGTGTGCTTTTTGATTTAACCGTTTGATAAGCGCGCTTTAGATGCGACTTTGCTTGGAAATTTAAATCAGGATAATAAAAAGTCGAAAAAAAATAGTTCATTTCCACATTATTCGGAATAATTTCTGAATTTTGTGAAGCAACAGGTTTTCGACGCAGGGGCGAATTGGAGTTCAAATGGCTTTCAACGTGTCTTGCGGTAGATTGAAACAATTCAACAAGAAGTTGATCATCTAATAATATATAATAAAGATTGTTAAGTTAAGCTAGTATCAGTTATAACAATAGGTACTAAGAACATTAAATATAATACTTGTTTTAATCACGTTATCGTATTCTACAATCATTTGCAATAAGCTTGAAATCAATTCTGATCTATTTTGGCCATTATGACTATTGCACACATTTAAAGCTGGATCATAAACAATTCTAAAACCATATGATGGATTTGAATATATTACATTCTCAACAACTCTTTGAACTGTCTATTATTTATGAGAGAGAATATATAATGACTTTAAATAGACAAGATTAAACAATTTCTACCCGAAAAATCATTAATTACCAGCTGTGGAATTGAATATAATAATTTTCTGAATTCGTTTTCCATATTTAACTTTTCTATCAATTCTAAATAAAGGCCTGTACTCAATTCATAATTTACTTTAAGAATATTATAGTCCAATTGATCTGATAAGAAATCATCAAGTAAATATAAAAATCCCATATATTATCGAATTACACTCTAGAATTCATAATAACACCTGCATAACATTTATGTTGTTGCCATATTTTAAACAAAAGCGAAGTAAGAACAAACTTGTTGGTTTCTAAATCGCTTGTGGAATTTATAAGTTGTGTTAAGACAGACACAAGATAGTCGCGACTTTCTTGCCTTTGAATAATTAGAAAAAAGTTTTTAAACCAATCCATTTAAATTATTATCTTTATATAATGCTAATAAAATAGTTACGTGTTAAAATCTTTTTCCTCAAGAGCTGATAAAGCACACAAAATATCGTTCTAATTCAATGCAATAATATAAAACATTAGTCCTTTTTAACTCAAACGGGAACAAATAACAATAATTTATAACTGATACTGATACTTTGAAATATTCTACAAACGGCATAATAGTTAAGAAAGTTAAATTACTGCGGTGTAAAAAATTTTATTGATAATCAAGTTTTTAATGTTAACACGTGCTTTAACAAAAAAAATTTTTATAGATCGCGACTTGAACATTTTTTATTCTATTTGTATGTAAAATTGAACGACCAATGCGGAGTCAATTAATTTCGAATATCGAAAAGTCGAAAAATAAACGAAGAGCTTTTTAAGCATACTAATGGTTATCCCCCACAAAAATTTGAGAATATACATGCCAAAAATTTTGTCACGACATTTTATTCGGCAATCTTATCCATATAATAAAACTCTTATATTAAATTGGTCTCCTTGTATTAAATCATCAAAATTTTTGCGAACTTTTGAAGAAGCTTCCTTGTCTATTAGTTTAAGAATGTGGAAATGGAAGGTGACGATAACCAAATGTACGAGACGAAAACATTCCTCTCTTGCGCTACCAACAACGACGAGGAAAAAGTCAAGCGAAGCTATTATAAAAGAAGTTGACTGCAATTGTCAACTGTATCTTCAACCTTTAATTGTATGCTTTCGGCAAGATTTGGAAAGAAATGCTGAGAATATATTTGTGACGTATGACGATTTATCAAAAAAAGGTGCTTTACAATTACTCGATAAAAATGATTACGCTCAATTAATTACACGATTGCAAAATTATAATTCGAAAGATTTCGTACTAAAATGGCTGAATCGATTTGTTACTGATATGAAATCGATTAATTTAAGTTTTTCTCTAGATTTATATGCATTAATGATAGTTTTATATGGAAAATGGAAAGATTATGATAAGTTGAAAAATATTTTTGTTGAAATATTCCAAAAGAACATTTTATGTGATGTTGAAACATATAATAATTTTATACATATATGTGCAAAAATAGGTAATTTACGATGCATATTTCAGCTACTGCAAGATATGAAATCTAAATCAATTCAGCCGAACTTGCCAACTTACAATATCATTCTTTTAGCATATGTACGAAATAAGAATATTCCTGATGCTCTAAGCTTATTATGCGAAATGGAAAAAGAAGGTCTACGACCTGATGTTGTAACTTTCAATAACATTATCGATGTACTTATAAAAATTCGTGATTTAAAGAGTGTGATAAAATGTCTTAAGATAATGTCCTCCATGGGGGTTAGACCTAACGTAATGACATTTGACACGCTAATGTCAGGTTATTCCGATTTAGGAGATTATGATTATGTTGAGAAACTTTACAACAAGATGATAAAAATGAATATTCAACCGAGTTTTGATACTTATTTTACATTAATGTCGGCTTATATCCGATCTGGTAAGAAAAAGCAAGCTTTAGAAATCAAAGATCGTTTAAGTGATAGTGATGGGAAAAGTTTACGACTTTATAATATGCTTATACATTTATACATAAAATTTAATGATTTTTCCATGGCACGTCTACTATTTGACCAGATGTCAGAATCAGAATTTAAACCGAATGTCGTCACGTTCAATACTTTCATTAACGGCTATATTAATCAAAATAATCTTAAAGAGGCAGGGAAATGTTTTGACGAAATGATTAAATATGGAATTTCCCCCAATGTGGAAGTTTATAACACGTTATTGAAAGGATATCTAAATGTCTACGGAATGTCAGCTGTAAAAAAAATATTTTCACAAATGTCTAATTATGACATTGTTCCTGATGCTGTCACTTATAATACTTTGATGCAATATATTAAAAAACAAAATGGAGTAGATTATTATGAAAAAGCAATTGATCAATATAGAACAATGATTAAAAAATCGATTGTACCTTCCGATCGAACTTTTAATATATTGTTAAACTCGGCTATAGTGAAAGACATTAGGAAAAGTAGATTACATCATCGTCGACTTTCTAAGTATCAAGAGGCTGAAGAATCAATGGAATTATCCCTTATTTTAAACGAGATGAGATCGAAGGGTTATATTATTGATATTGTTACTTATTCTATTTTAATGAAAAATTTTGTACATTATAAGAAAATGGAAGAGGCTGAAAAATTATTGCAACAGATGAAAGATAATGTTATAAATCCTAATCAATACATTTTCAATATAATGATATACGGTTATTGCAAATCTCATAATATGAGCATGGCACAACAGGTAGTTAAAAAGATGATTATCTCGGGATTTTGGAAAGATTTAAAAACTTATACTTCATTAATCAATGGATATGTTGCTATTGGCGAGATTGGGGAAAGTCTGAGAGAATTTGAGGAAATGAAACGATCCGGTTTAATACCAGATAAATTTGTTTATACTTCTCTTATTGATATGTTTGCCAACAAAAAAAATACACGAAATGCTCAGAAAGTTTTTGATTACATGCGTACACAAAGAATTCCTATGGATAAAAAAACATTTACTGTACTTATGAAAGCGTACGCTCTAGATGGAAACATTAAAGGAGCATGTTCTGTTTATAATGAAATGATTAAAGAAGAATGCGAACCAGATGAAGTGGTGATAATTACTATGCTATCTGCATATAAAAAAGGAAAGAATATTAAAGGTGCGATCGATCTTCTTAAAGATTCTAAAATAAATAAATATCTCAACACACGAAATTGCAATATTCTTTTAAATATGCTAGCTCAAGATAAGGATTTATCAGAAGGAGCGCTTAAATTATTCATGAAAATGTTAGAAAGTCACGATCAATTATCGACATCATCACAAGTAAATACTTCTTTGATACATCTAAGTAATGCAAGATATCCACTACCTGACTTAGATAGTCTCCAGATAATTCTTAAACGATTTAGTTATAATCAGCGATGGGATTTGGTCATGTTAATATGGGATGCAATAGATCAAAGAGAAATCAAACCTTTAATTGAAGATTTTATAATATTTATGAAAGCTTTTGCTAAAGCAAGGAATGAGAAAAAATTATCGCAAGTTTGCGAAAAATTTCTAATTCAAGATCCTCCAAATTATCTTATTTCAAAAATGAGAGAAATTCTTTTAAATTATAGCATATCTTCCGAACTTATAAATGAAATATTAAAAAAATAAATTGTCACCACTGCGGATCCAATGATCTGCCTTGATTAACACTATTTGTCACGCAAATGTATATTATAAACAATTCACGTACAGAACCGAAATCCCAATTAGACGTTAGACGTGTTAATTAATGCAGTGATATTTAATTTCGTCGTTTTATATAAACAAAAATTAATCGGCGATTCAGAACAATGACAAGTTGATATTTTATTTATTTTATTTGCTAAGCTATTTTGGTAAAAATCTATTTGTCACACAATATATACTATTAATAATACGATAATAATGGTGTGATAACTAATACAGTGATATTCGCATAACTTGAATAGTATATAACTTAGGTTACACATTAGTCAGATGTTCAACTTTCAAGCTCATGTACTGTACAGTAGATCGATCAAAAGATGAAACGAATTATGTTCATTTCCTTGCTTGTACTTAAGTTATAAATTTCCTTTGCTCGTCATATTACCTTGATATTATTTACGCTATTTCTGTACTACTATGGATTCAATCTCTAAAGAATTTTCAAAAGTTGAAAAAAAGCAACAGGAAGTAGCTGATTCAACGATCGACAACATCGATAAAATTATTAATGAAATTCAAGAAGCTCAAAAGCGTTTAGAAACCGGTAAGTTTTAAGGTTTTTTAATATCAGTAAATAAATATAATTTCTAAGTGCTTTTTCACAGATCCTGTGAGCGCTGGTGCTATTTTAAAAGAACTGGAACTGAAGTTCAAAGAACTTACAACGAAAACTTTAGAATCTCACAAAGAATTACAGAAAGTAATAATACGTTATGAGAAAATAGTAGACAAGGTATAAAAAAGTCTATTCTTATAATAGATCTTATACTTCGTTTTTGTTTATGTTGTTTTCTTAATGCTTGTGTGTAGAAATGGAAGAATGACATTACAATTGCAAGCAATCCAGAAGTTTTCGCTAATAAAGAAAAGGTTCTCAATACAACAGTGGCCTTACACTTTATACGTGAAGGCAGGTTTGAATTGGCAAACACATTCATAAGGGTATATATAATTTACCTTCTTACTTTTTTTTTAACATCTGTTTAGTGAATAAATGTGTGTATAATTTTGTTAGGAAGCACAATTAGATATTCCTAATACAATACAAACACAATTTCACGAAATGTATCAAATTCTGGGAGATATAAAACTTGAAAAGTTAGAACCTGCTATAGAGTAATCTAATTTTCTTTCATAACTTATGTTGTTATTCATTCCTTGATTATTTGATATGTTCTAATTATATATATATATATCATCCAGGTGGGCCAGGACAAAGAGCAAAGAGCTTGAAAAAAGAGGTAGCACGTTGGAATTTGAGCTTCATCGACAGCGTTATGTTCAACTCCTAATTGATAATCGACGAGAAGAAGCATTAGTGTATGCCAAAAAGAAATTTCCTCTCTTCCATTCCCGTCATATTTTTGGTGATATGTCATTTTCCTTTGTTTTATTTTATACAGATAGAGTTATTTTTTTTTAATAAAAATTATATGTATATAATATAAACTAATGTAACTATTTCATGTAATTATTTATCAGATATAAAGCGGTTGATGTGTGCTTTGGCTTTTTCAAATCGTTTATCAACATCGCCATATAAAGATCTGTTGTCGCCCGATTTGTGGATTGAATTACAGAATAAGTTCATGCGTGATTTTTGTAATCTGTTAGGAATGTCAAGTGAGAGCCCCCTATATATTAGGTAGGTATATATGAAATTCGGTAGCATAATAGCATACCCGTCAATAATTATATCCATTTTTTTTAACGTCAAAAACTTTAGTGTAACAGTAGGTGCAACTGCTTTACCTACAATCTTAAAAATGGCTACAATTATGAAAGAGAAGAAGAATGAATGGAGTCAACAAGATGAATTACCAGTAAGTTTTCAATATGGGTAAAATAAATTTTAAGTATTCAACGTTCGATTTTTAAATCAGTCAAATTTTTTATAGGTAGAAGTCCCTTTACCCGATTATATGCGTTATCATTCAATCTTTGCGTGTCCAGTTTCTAAAGAGCAGTCAACAGAGAAAAACCCTCCAATGATGTTGCCCTGCGGACATGTGATTTGTCATGAGTCTCTTAACAAATTGAGTAGAGGCAATAGGTAAGTTGTTAATTATTTACTATATTTTTATTTTTATTTTATTTTATATAATCTTATTTTTTTTTTTCAGCCGTTTTAAATGTCCATATTGTCCGCATGAAAGCATAGCAAATCAAGCATTACGCATTTATTTCTAATTTCTAATTTCACTTAGAGAAAGACTAGTTATTTTTTTTTCAATTGTGATATAATCTTGCAAGTAAATTTTATTTTTTTTTTCCTACCGTAATTAATCCTTAATAAAAGAAAAAGCCTTTAAAAAAAGGACACTTTAGATTAATTTAATATTTTATTACAATATTAAAATATTGAGTATTAAAGAAACTATTATGAATCTATATAATGTCTAGCAATAAAGTTGGTTTTACATATAATATCCAAAATTAAAAATGTAATAAATTAATTACTATTAAGTAATACTGTTTTTTAATACTTTACTAGTATTAATTTTATAAAAATTATCATTAATGCGAGAATTATTATCGTCAGATAAAGTATTAAAATAATAATTACGATTATCTAAAAAATTTTCTAATAAGTTAGCAGCAATAAAACCACCATCATGAGTTAAAGGCTTAATTGTAGTAACAGAATTAGAAGATGACAATGATAAATCATAGGCTTTCTGTATGTAAGATTTCCATTTACCAGATTCAAAATGAGATTTTGGCATTTCAACACAGATACCTTGTAATTCCATTAAACGTTTTAAACCTAATTCTTCAATGAATTGAGGTCTTGAAATATAAATAAAAGGTTTACCATGACCAATACATTCTGAGCAAGTACCATATCCCTAAGAAAAATTGGTAGTTAGATATTACTATCATTATTATCATTTATAACGTACAAGTATACTTACTAATTTTCCAATTATAGCATCAGCAGCATTAGTTAAATCAGGTATATAAGCATTTTTTGGGCAAGAATAAAATCTATCAGGTAAGTTTATACCATCACTACCACATACTATAGCAATCCAATTATCAGGTAAAGAAGAAGTACCCCAATCTTCAATACCAACTAAATTTTGCCCGCCAAAAGATACCATTAAAATTTTATGAGTAGTGAAAATTTCTTTCGGTATACCAAGATTTTTTAATACTATTTCTTTAGGAGTTATCGATTTACGTACTACTAAAGGTACATCAATTACGTTACGATGATATTTTAAAAATTTTGAAGTGTTAGGTGATGAAAAAAACGAATTTATATCGCTTAGATAATTCACTGATTTTTCCTCATTATATAATGTTTTTTCACCTTTAGATGAAGTTAATGATGATGATGTTATTGTGTTATCAGGATAAAGCTGTGTACCTGAAAATGATGGTATTGGAATATAACCTGGCAACCTAATTAATAATTCAGAATTTCTATAATCTTTTATGACATGTTCAACAAGTCTTTTTATTGTATCATCTAATTCATCGCCTTCACATAATCCACTGTACACAGCATCAAAGGTAAAATTACTGACAATAGCTGACGGTATTCCAACTAATGCTGCTGCTGCACTGTATTTGTCAAGAAAGGAGAGAAAGACATTAACGATTCTTACAATCATAACAACTTTAACTAGAAGAAAACAAATCATTTTTACTAAAAACTTACCATGGAAGAAAAGGAGCATCAGACAACACAATATCGGCTTTAACATCCTTTAACCATTGAATTTCTTTATTTAATATTATAGGTTTATTGTCTAAGAATTTTATTAAATCATCAATCGTTTCCCGCCTATCTACGGTATATGCTCTAGGTTGTTTTACTCCCGCATCTATCGGAGCATTTCTATATTTTGCACCTAAATCTATTGCTCCTTGAAATATGAATTTTGGTGCATTCGATATTATATATAACTTATGTTTTCTTTGTAACTTTAATATTTCTGATGCTACTTGAACAACTCTTGTAGCATGTCCAAATCCTATTATATGCACAAAATAAAGACTTAATTGTTAAATGTCTACTTGAGAAAGAAGTATAAGAAGCGAAAACCTACCATGTCCCGATACGTAATAACAAAAAACATAATTTTTTGGTATCTTTTGTTTGAAAAAGAATTTTTTTGGTATCAATTTAAAGACACCAAAAACAAGTATAACTAAACCAAAATAAACTACTGAGATGGACTCCACTTTGTAAAGAATGAAAAGAAAATTTTTTTAAAAAAAAGTAAGGAACACGAAAAAAAAAAGAAAATCGAAAAAGCGTACGTATAGAACATAAAGACGAAAAATTCGATTCATATATATATCTTATAATGCTAATTTCGTATGCATTATATTTGTTACACCAATGTAAGCTGTTTAGAACACGTTTTTTTTTATATTCATTCATCTCTAAAAATAGTCGAATTATTAAGATTACCCTTTAAGTATTAAAATATCCGCCACCACCGATATTCCGATATTTCATAACCGCCATTTAATATACTAATATACTCATTAAATAAATATACTGTCAAAATATTTAAGGGGTTAATTAGATCTTTAACAATAATACGTCAACAAGTAGTGCTGTTTATGATTGCCAAATTCTTGCAATTCATTTTATGCTAGGGTTATTCTTATAATGGAAATTGTTAACCAAAATTAATCAAAGGTAATCCCATTAAGTTGATCAACAAAAATTTTTTAAGTAGAATAAACAAAATCATTGTAGAATAAAAGGCCAACTTTTCGTACAATGACGTCTATTATGTCAAATGATTATACACGTAAAATTATATCTAGTTTTCTTAATGTAACGCCAAAATAAAATAAGATGAAAATACAAATAATATTTTTCTTTTTACATAATGATAGATAACCTTTTTGCTAAAAAGTATATTATATTCTTTGATCCCGCCCCCCTAAAATGTTGTAAAAATATAGTCGATTTAATCATTTGTCGTCAATTATGACAAAAGGAAAGAAAACTGTCGCTTTCTTCTGTTATTTAATAATACGAAATGAAAACAATTACAAATGTATCGCAACTATAAATTTTCCTCTTTTTTTCACTTTTTTACCTATTAATTTTCACCAAAATTACCTTTTAAATCAGATAGCAAATCACCAAGTTGAACTGAGATTTCTCTATCACATACTAGGTTCTCCTCCAGGGCTGCCCGAAACTGTACTTCGAGCTAACAATTTTGTTATGACAAGGTAAAGACATACCAAAGATACTATTATCCATTTACGCCATTGATCGAAAATTCCTCGTTGACCCGCAACATTGTTGTTATTATTAGTATTACTTTGCGGATTATTATTACTGCCATTTGCTCTATTAGCATTTTCAGCAAGATTTCCACCTGCAACAATACCCCGCAGAGGGTTTTCACTACGGTTATTGGGTCTGCGTTGTTGAATTTGATTTATACCATCCACTAAGGGTCCTTGTTGATTTGCCTCATTTCGTCTTACTGTCTGAAGGGCATGTTTATCGGTTTGTAAGGCATCATTACAAACAGTTGTGGTGTCATCGCTTGATGACGACGATGACTTATTAATTGGGTAAAGAACTTCAACAGGTACACATTCTGGGACACAAAGTTCGGGAAAAATTTCTAATTATAGAAAAAATTTCCAAAATAACTAAATACAAGAGCATCTATAGAATTTACTTTTCATACTTTATAATTTTTGGTTACGTACGTACCTTTAAATTTTGAATCGTTCAAATTGAATTGATGTGATCGTGAAGCATATATTCTTTTGTCAGCATCCGTCGTCTTGATACTCCCTGTAGTAGCTTCATTACTAGTCTAAATTTTCAAAATACAGTTTCGCCCAAGGTTAATATCTACTAAATTAATATTTTACAAAGCAATTTCTGAGGAATAATAATAATACAACACCATAAAACTTAACAACCCAGTCAATATAGTAGCAACACTCCAGCTAGGATTCCAAGTACTTGGATGAAAATCTGACATAGATAAACATAACCTAGTGTCTGGCTGAAATCGACCTAAATGAATAAATCAATTTAATATACTTTACGAAATTGTTTAGAATTATTTTATAAATAATTATGATGCAAATGAAAAATACCAGAAGGTGTTGTCATACGAATTGAGGGAGGCTTAAAGGGATATTCAGCGGGGAATAACAACACGCCTGTAAAAATGATTGTAAATATTATGTAATGAATAAGAAAAAAAAATAATTCAAAGGGATTGTAAAATTTACCATGATACTCTCCGTTGTGATAAGGTGTGTCAGGAGGTCCGCGAATAACATAGTGCCTAAAGAGAAAATATTATACAGGAATGAATTATATTAATCGCTTTCATATTGCAAGTATATAATTAACAATATAAAATAAGAGAAATATAAGATCTCTAACGATCTAATATTTTATAGAAGTTACCATTCCAAAATGTTACTTTCAAGTGGCTTTGCCATCAAATATGGGGGTGGATTCTTAACGTTTTAAGTTGAAAATCATTAATACATCACTTTACTATACAATATAAAGACAAACATGAGATGATTGATAGTACAGCTTACTTTCTGAAGGGTTATATATTCCTTGTTTAATCTCTTATATGCCGCTTTGGTAGCCATTATAAAATGTTCTGCAATAAAAATACAAAAAAAAGGAAGTTGATAATTTGTATATTACATATATCGAGTGGAAACTTTTGTGAGTTCAGCTATCTAATGTGATGTCTTTTTTATACAGACTTTCGAGTTATATATTTTTGAGACAAAGAAAAACTATGGTTTTGCCAAAAAGGCGCTTTTTTTGTCTGGGCAATTGTCGTATGACGATAATTATGGTATACAGAGTATCACCTGACTTTTCTTACACTCTTCTTCAGTATAAGCCGCAAATCATAACGATCCTTTTTCAAAACGAGAAAAGAATCCATAAATCAATTTCTTCCTTATACACCCTAATCCACGTTCCTTATCAAACTTGAATATAACAACCTTTAATGGTTATATAAAAGTTATACAAAAATGGAATTTAAAAAGAAATAAATGTGAATTGCGATACCAAATTATCATTAGTAATGTAAAAATTATCTCATAATTTTGGCCAGAATTACCGGTAAATATCTGAAAGTCAGGTTTGTGGCGCAATTTACCGACTGTGATACAGAAAAAAATTAACAAAAAAAATAAAAATCTATCAGCTATATATAGTTTAGAAGTAAGCCTTTTCCAATATATACTATAGACCATTATTTATGAATATATAATACAATACTGATATTATAAAATTCCTGTAAAAAAAGTTGATCTGTTTTTTATAATTTTTATAATTTATTTTTTTTTTCATAAAAAGCTTATATTTCTAGAATTAATAATCTTATATGAATAGATCTTATAAAAGATTCATATTTACAGAGTTTTTACAGAAAAATTTTTTAAAAAAATAACTAAAACTGATTCTATAGTAAATTTTTTATATAAGATAAATTATGCTTTTTTTTAAAAAAAAAATAATTTTTACTACTTTTACTATATATAAAAAATTCTGTTGTCTTAATTACATGACTGATCTTTTGTTTTTGTTTACACTTAAATTTTAATTGGATAAAATTAGAGTTATTACAAATAAGATACATAACAAGTTATTACAATTAGATTTATTCTTAAAACATTATATTATCTGAAAAAAAGGTATTTCTGCTAACATTTTAATTTATTTGTCTGGACAAAATGTTTGTTCTACTAAAGAACTTATTTTATTATTTATATTATTCAATTTTATCATTTTCCTTTTTTTTCTTTTTTAACTTTTTGATTGTTTTATTGAAGGTCAGAAAATTGTTTGTTAATTTAATAAAATGTATGTATAATTAGTTATAAAAATTAAATAACTTATAACCAAAATTTTTTTTTTTACTTCATATTGTACAAAAAAAATATATATATATTGTACAGTTTTTTTTTTATTTAAATTAATTAAATGTCTATATACAAATCACAGTTTAAATCCAAAAAAAGTGATTTTTAGAAGTAAAATTATTTACTTTCAAATTAAAATTCTAAAAATTTTAGAGGAAAAATATAAAAAATACATGATTATTACTATATTAAACAAAAATTTATATGTGGAATTTTTTTTTAATTTTTAAAAAATTTTCACTTACTATAGTAATAATATAAAATTTTTTTTTAAAACTTAACAAAACTGATTCAGTCAGAATATAAACTCCATTTTTATTTTTTACCACTTTGTGTCATCTTATATAATTTTATATATATAGTATAATTTTTTATTTTATACATAAATATATAATAATATATTCTTTTAAGGGTATTGCTAAATATTACCAGTGGTGATCGTCACCACATGTAAAATATTTTTTGAATTTTCAAAAATTTTTGACTGAGATATTTTTTTTTTTTTTTTTTTTTTTTTTTTTTTT